ATCAAAATTCAGAATCTTTAGCTCTTTAGCGAAAAAAGTAGCTTTTTGTTGAAGCATAGGCCCATTTACGGGTATTCCACGATTACGCTGCAGCTTAAACCATTGTAAAAGTGCCGAGTCCACTTGTTCTTGAGACGATAACCTCACACGTTTAGGTTTTAAAACATTCGCATTGAACAAAGGTTCTGTAGGTATTTTGTATGCGGGAAGACTAGTGGTCTACTCTGCTTCTGCTGCCACCTCATGGCTATTGGCTTGTTATTTAAACATTTATGTTTGGTGTTAGTAATTGTGGAAACCTGTATTGGCTTTTTGTTGCATGTCACATTCTTTTTTAATCAAATTGCTGTTGTTTTCATAAGTGTTAAATAATAACAGCAATTTTATTAAAAAAAAAAATGTGACATGCAACAAAAAGCCAATACTGGTTTCCACAATTTACTTTTTTAGTCAGTAAGAGTCTGACACTCCCCCCCGCCTCACCCAGGCGGGAGCAGTCATTCGATGATTTCCCCCTTAAAAAAAAAGTGTTAAATAATGAAAAAAATAGTGTGTAATGTAAAATGTTTGCATTTCCAGCAGCAACAAGCGCAACAGCAGCAACAACAGCAGCAGGCGCAGGGTCCCACGTCCGCCCACGAGGCGCTCGTGGCCGCCGTCTTCAACTGCTGTGTGTTCGGAGACGAGAGGGACCAAGTGCTGGCCAAGTGGAACCTCATACAGGCTCAGTGGGGCACTGGTGAGTTATGCAGTGCTTTAATGCACACTACACACCTTATGATTTAACTGTACAGTTAAACTGCACAGGTATACCAATACGTGTGTGTGCAACATGCATAAGATACCAATATTAGTAAAGTTAGGGTCATATTTATTTGATGACCTACGCGTCTTTTTTTTTCTTCAAATTACCTTGGCTATCCTAAACTCGTCAGGTTTTAGTAGAATGTAAAAATTATTTTGTCTGAATAAACTCTGTTAGTCAACTAACTTATCATACGTAAAGGTTGTACGCTAACAGTGAACTTATTTTAATTAATCGTAATACCACAAAGTACTGAATAAACCTTAAAAAAACTTAATACTAATCGGGTTCGATTCCCGGGTCCAGGCAAAATATTACTGGGTTTTAAAAAAAAATCAGTAGTAGCATGGAGTCTGGAATAGGGTAGACGACTAATTTTTATTTTAATATCCGTCTGGTAGATTATTTAAAAACATTAGACACGTATTTTTTATTTTCTTACGGAGACGAATAGTTTCGAAGATATATTGATTTGAAATGTCGTGTGACGTCACTTCTCAGTACATTTTATACTAAGAAATGACGTTTTAGCTCCCACTCCTAAACTTTGATTCGTTTTATCTAAGTATTGTTTTATTATATGACAAAATAAAAAAATACGTGTCTAATATTTTTTAATTACTTAACTGACGGACTAATTAGATTTTTAATTTTCATACATTGTCATCATCCCTATTGTGCCCGGTATATGCCTATGGCAATAGGCTCACCCCCTATTACATGGGACTCATAAACTCGTAACATGAATAGTGAAAAGTCACACTGTATAGTGCCGTTAAGTGCGGTAAATAATGTGCACGGCGTGATGTTATGTAAAATACGTAATAAGTAAAGTATAAAATAAATCCGTTATTCTACTTTCCAGGTCAAGCCTACTACAGTCGTAACGCGCCTCCTTTAGAGTTGAACGAACAGAATCCGCTATGCAGGTTCAAGGCAGTAGGATACTCCCGCCTCGGCGGCCGCGAGGACAAGGACGGTCACGTCGCCATGCTGTTCAACAAACCTGAACAGGAGATCAAGTATGTTTTAAATTTTATTGTTTAGGGAATAAGGATTATTATTGCTCTTTGCAAAACACGATACTGCATCGTTGCACATAGGAGTATTCGCATAATAAAACTGGTCAAAATTATTTTTCGCATTTTTTTGCAATTTCATCGAATGAAAGACGAAGTTCAATGATATTTTATATTTATTTATTAAATATTTATCTTTCGCCTGAAATGATGATGATGATGAAATATTTATTTAAAAAAAAAAACCTATACAATTAAAAAAAAATATTAAACAGACTCAAGCTGTTCGTCTTCATGTTCTTCGTCTTCTTCCATACTTTGTTCGCCATTATTTTCATTTGGATGTAAAGGCGGTGTACTTGCGACCATAAGACTGATTGCTTTCATCGAAAATGGCTTACTTTTCTTGTGTACCTTTGGTCTGCTACAACTTAAATACGAGTGTGAACTTAGTAACAGCCTGTTTAATATATCTCTGTTGCAATCGACTCGGGAAAATTTTTGAGAAAAATTTAATCTATAATACCGTATGTGCTTGTTGCGGGCCTCTGCTGCCTCTTCCGATAATTGACCAATAGGTAGGATTGCAGTAGATATGACTTTGGCACCATGCATTAAAATTTGTGTATAGTTGGTGACATAGGATGCCAACCATAAAAATTTGTGTACATTTCAGCAGTTTCATGTGCATAGCCTCCAAATTTACCAACATCATGCTGTCGCCACTTGAAATTACTTCTAAGATTACTTTAAATCGTCATATTAGATCGATTTTTGTTATTTTTCAAGAAACCTTCATCTTTGTAACTACTGGCTGTCCATTTCTTCTTGAATTCACTCTTGAAGCACCTTAGGGCCCGACTTAAAACAGTTTTTTGATCACTTGGACATTTAGTCATTTCCACAAGTTTTTTTCCATTAAAGAAAACTTTTCATCTATTTTTTCCTCTTGTATTCATTCAAGATGTCATATAAAGCTCTCCTGGTAATTTTTCTGGTGGCTCTAGAAGAATCTACGAGAGCAAAAAGAAAAAATTACAATGTTGAAATAATTACACTTTCACGTGCATTAACTTCGAATGGATAAAAAACAAAATGGCGGATTAAGGCGGACAATTTTATTGTGATATATGATTGGTATAAGCCTAAATTTTGTCTCTATAAAAAAAATATACCTGGACAAGACCAGACACTTAAACAAAAACACTGTTAAAACAAAATTAAAAGTAATAATAAATGCTCTTAAAGGTCAAGTTAAATATAGTACTTATACGTATAATACAAACAGAAAAATAATAAAATTACGTATTTAATTACGGTATATACCTTCCACTTCCATATTAAATTCATATTTTCACTGAGGTCAACCACGCGAAACTACAATAACGAAAGAACTAAACACCACAAACGAAAGCGTCGCAAACAAAGACGTGCGATTCTAAAATTGACTGCGTTCCAACTGACTTCACGACAAGAGTCAAGTGCGGGTAGAAGTATTATGGCGGTCAATTGACAGACTGGTTATTAAACTTATACAAAAAATTGTTTGAATGTATTTTTGAGTAATTTTTTACTTTTGACTTTTAACCGATTTTAACATACGAATACTCCTATGTGCGTTGGTTACATTATAGATTATCATTACATAGAGGGCAAATAGTGACCCTCAATGAAGTAAAATTAATATTTTTTTGTCATTAATAATGGGTCAGTATGTTCTTGCTCGACTCTTATAATAGGGCGAGGTAATCATCTGAACATTATAAGAATTATTTCTGAAACTGAAATACCTAATAATATTTACGCCTGTCGCAACAGAGTGACTTTATAGTTACTTAATAATAGTAACTTCAAAAAAAAAAAATAAACTAATTCAAATATTTTTTTTTAGAAATAATCAGCAGGCCCTGACTACATCTCTGCAAGGTTTAATGGGAAACAAACCTAATTTAGCCGTCACTATAGAATGTGTTAAAGCTGTTTCTGATAGCAAAACTCAGGTACTTTCTTATTTTATTACTTGTCAATTTTTATCAATCAATCTTCAATAGCCTATGAGTAGCCATTGTTGACCAAAGGCCTCTTTTCATATGGAGAAGGTTTGAGCATTAATCACCATGTTTGCTCAATGACAATTTTTATAGATTCTAGCTTTTCCTTCTGGTTATTGTGGATTAATTTAGACACATTGATTTTTAAGCTGAATGTAAAGAAATCGATTTTGGAGAACAACTATACTTTTAATTAATATTAACAGTTTACTCACGTAAAGTTTTCGAGTATTCTCGACTACTTTCGAAGTGCATTGGGGCTCATATCATAAACTGTATGTGCATATAATCCAACATCCTTTATGGTTTTTGTTTCAGGTTGTTATATACGTAGTGGACAAAGGAGCAGGCAACACGCATATATCTGCGTCGGAGCTAAGTAACTTTTTGAACGCGGGTGCGGCTCGCAACGCATTGAACGGCGCAGGTTGTACTACCGTGTCGCCTGTCACTGCGCCCTCGCCGCAAATGTTGGCGCAGTACTTACAAACTGCACCACCTGGTACGTACGCTTACATAGTGTAATGTAAAACATAAAATAACATCACGCCTTTTTGTCCTAGAAGGGGTAGGCAGAGAAGCACATCACGGCATTTAATGCCATTGTACAATGTAACACCCACTTTTCACTATTTATGTTATGAGTCCAATGTAATAGAGGGTGAGCCTATTGCCATATACTGGGCACAATTCCAGACTCCATGCTACTACTGAGAATTTTTTTTGCTAACCCAGTAATGCTTTGCCCGACGCGGGAATCGAGCCCGATACAAGGGCCTGGCAAAACCAATTGCGACCACTCGGCCAACGAAGCAATTAAACTTATAAACTGTAGACATTTTGTTAGTTACTTATAACATAAATAGACTGCCTCGTTGGCCGAGTGATCGCAAGTGCGACTGCCGGGCAAGGGGTCTCGGGTTCGATTCCCGGGTCGAGCAAAGTACTACTGGGTTTTTAAAAAAATCTCAGTAGTAACACGGAGTCTGGAATTGTGCCCGGTATATGGCAATTGGCTCACCCCCTATTACATGGGACTCATAACATAAATAGTGAAAAGTGGGTGTTACATTGTACAGTGGCATAATGTGCACCTCTGCCTACCCCTTCGGGGATAATAGGCGTGATGTTATGTTTATGTTTATGTTACTTATAACAATGTGTCACTGTAGTCCAAGATTATAATATTTTATGTAGTTGACAATAATGGTCAATGCCAAGTTATTATACAAGCAATAAAAAATTATAAAAATGATACTGTGTTTCTAGGAATGGACATGCGACTCTGGAAGCAAGCGCAGGCTGACAATCCGGACCCGGAAAACTACATTCCTGTGCCCATTATAGGGTTTTCTGAGGTAAGCATTATTTTGTACAAAATAAGAAGAAGTCGTCTTGAATTCACAGTAAACCGGCGGCATGGTGTTTATAATCTTACTTATACTATTATATAAAGCTGAAGAATTTGTTTGTTTAAACTGTCAAACACCAAGCGGTCACCGGTGACCGCAACCTATTGTTCTATAATTGTGTCTACAAAACCGGTACTCGACGAGTTAAACGCACTAACCTTAGGAACTATTGGTCTACCAGACCACCTCACATGGCAACGCTGGTGTGCTCCTGGGTTTTAGTGGGTATGCCGGCTTCACCCAGAGAGTCCCACATATACTTACTAACCTAACTAACTAACACTTAACAATTACTGCCTCATACGAGTGTATGAGGCAGTCTTATTTGAACTGTTTAAAGCGGAGATATCTAACACGCCTGCCAACCATAGATATTTTGGTAAATTAGTCATATTTAGAGGAGACCCATTGATAGTCCAGCTGTGGACAGTTACAGGCCGATGATGATGATGAAGTAATCCATTTTCTAATTGTTTGTTTTGTGTTCCAGATAAAGTTCCGCAGTGGCTGCCAGTCGGAGCAGGCCAAGCTGCAGGCGCAGTGGTTGCAGCGCGCGGCCGCCGACCTCGCCGAGCTGCGCACGCGCCGCGCCGCCGCCACGGCCCGCCTGGCGCAGCTCGCCGCCAGGCTGCATGCTCGCCGACATACGTTGCTGCAGGTAAGATCATTGCAGCAGCTAATTTATTTACTTACGTGAGTACTTAATATACTATGACGTCTTTAATTTCCCAAATATCAGCCCTTAGCGTAGCTTGTAATTAGTGGAGTTACGTCATCAATCAGTTACATAAATAGTTAAATTCCCCGGTTTGGGAAAGCTATATACATGAAATGCTTTCGTGCATTATGAGGAATCTATTGATACAATTACAAATTCTTAAGAAGCTTAAAAGTCAACTTTGATTACTGAAAGCTTTTAGGATTTCTCACTGTATCTTTCATCATCATCATCAGCCACAGGACGTCCACTGCTGAACATAGGCCTCCCCCAATGACTTCCAGATCCAAGTATATTTGTTTGATAATGTAATTTGTAATGTGAGGTGGTAGCCCGGCGCGAGGTGGTGGGTCGCGTGGGCGCGGCGCTGTCCCCCGAGGAGGAGGCGGCGCGCGCCCGCCTGCACGAGCTTACGTCACAACTTGCTGCACCACCGCTATACAATGTAAGTACCTAATACTTTATGAATAATTACCTTCTGTCCGTGACTTCGTACGTGCAATCCCGGATTTTCCCGATCCCGTTCGTGATTTTCGATAGAAAGCAATAAAAATATTGGATGAAAAGTATCATATGCCCGTCTCCTGGTTCTAATCTACCTCCCCACCAATTTTAATCCGAATCGATTTAGCCGTTCTCGAGTTATAAATAGTGTAACTAACACGACTTTCTTTCAATAAATGTCGACAACTAAAGTTGATATAACTACCACACCTGCATAAAATATTCAGAGTGCTTTGTGAAAATTTGATTTACGTAAACTACTAGACCAGGACTTCCCAAACTATGGGTCGCGACCCATTGGTGGGCCTTGCCTGTAGAATGGCTCACTAACCGACTGTTCTAGCTATTTTATCTTTCATATTACTAACAATTTTATATTCTAAACTTTAGAATAGAACTTAGGACCAGTGGCGTGCACAGGTTTTCGAGACAGGGTAGGCAACTAAATATCGTATGATTATACCCCTCTCCCCCGCCGGTCATACAATCATGCTCACACAAGATAGGTACATGTACATAATACATTTCGAAAATTGCGTTCAAGAATATTGTGGTGTATTCTTTCGCCAAATTACATACACTGACAACTCGCGTATTTTTTGTGAAGTACTTCATCAACTATTGAATAAGCCAACAAAACTTACAAATAATGAAGGATATATTATTTATTTTAATAATAAGGCATAAATTTGATGAACCAAACTTCATTATGGAATTGTTTAGTTTAATCAATCTGTTCAAAATCATAACATATTACGAATTTAAGAGCGTAGGTACCTACATTATGTCAACAAACAAAACAATAACAAGCGCGGCCGGCTGTGGCCGAGCCGGCCGAGTCTATGCGGTAGGTACATATGTTATTAGTGTTATTACTACATTACATAATTATAAATAATAAATTAATATGTGAATCAGTACAACCCGAAGTCTAAGTTGATATTTTTAAGAATTATCAAACAATAAACAAGAAAGTCAAATAAAAGATCCATTATAGTACATATTTACATTACCTACCTTTTACTTGGGTCAATTCTCGTAACTCGAGTACACCTCTGCCTATGGTCTTTACCTGAATCTAGTCCGATAAAGGACATTTTCTTGCGAAATCTTACTGTTTACTTTCAACAAACACATAAAATTACCTATTATTCACACACACTTCACAATCGAATAATATAGGTACTTGTACTAGAAACTGATAAACAAATACACTATTTGAAAAACCTACACATATATTTAACTACTACTACACATTTATGCAACTTTATGTTTAAAACTAATTCCTAATAATTTAAACGAAAACATAAACAAAGCGATCGCACATCACATGAAAACAATATGGCCGAAAACATTGGAAATGAATTGAAGTCATTACCAATAGTCAATTGAGTGTTTATTATAAAAAAA